CGCCGCCCGCGAGGCTCCTCTCCTGCTGCCCTCGTGGGTTCAGGAGCTGTGGGAGACGCGACGCAGGAGCTCCGAGGCAGGGATCCCTGTCCGTGCGCCCCGGAGCCCGCGCGCCCCGGAGTCTGCGCTGGAACCGGTGTCCCTGGACTTCAGCGGAGCCGGCCAGGTACGTGAGAGGGGAGGAGGCCTGGACCGCCGCAGGCAAAGGGGTCTCAGGAGGTCTGAGCCGCAGCACAGAGCCGCGTGTTCAGGGGGCACCCTCGGGCCCTTCCATCCCCCGCTCCGCGCCCAGAAAAGTTTTCCCTGGGTAGGCTCGACCCTGGCACCCGGGGGTGGCAGTGGAGGGCCACAGCCTCCTCCCCACGGCCTTGCTCTGTTCTCGCTAGCGACTTCCGAGAGACGTCTCCCGCCCCGCCGTGGTCCCCGCAGCAAACCGCCTTGGCCGGCCCCGCCTGGCCCCTGGACCGTCCTGACAGCGTTCCCCCGCCTGCGGCGTCTCCGCGCCTGACCCAGGAGGAGTCTCCGCGCTTCCAGGAGCCGCTAACAGCCCCGGCCTGCCGTCCGGTCAATAAAATCCGCCTGACTCCTGCGCCCCCGCGTGCGACCCCTTCGTCTGCCTGTGTACTTTGCCGTCTAGCTCAGGGCGCAGACAGGCGCGCCCACGCCCTGGCAAATGTCACGGGCCCCTCCCTCGCCGACCAGGGGAAGCGCCGGGCACTCAGCATTCATTTCAAACCTGAATGTCCTGGCACCCCCTTTCTCCCTTAGCCAAAGTCTTTCGCAGAGGATTAAGAACCCCTGGTCCCCTTCTTCGGGGTCATGCCCATGGAGGAGGGGCCCCTCCACCTGAGCCCCACCTTGCTGCTTTTTTTTTATTTTTTTGAGACGGAGTCTCCCTTTGTCGCCCAGGCTGGAGTGCAATGGCGAGATTTTGACTTACTGCAACCTCCACCTCCACGGGTTCAAGCGATTCTCCCACCTCAGCCTCCTGAGTAGCTGGTACTACAGGCACCCACCATGATGCCCAGCTAAGTTTTGTATCTTTGTAGAGACGGGGTTTCACCATGTTGGCTGGACTGGTCTTGAACTCCTGACCTCAGGTGATCCGCCCACCTCGGCCTCCCAAAGTGCTGGGATTATGGGCATGAGCCACCGTGCCCGGCTGCTCCTCTACCTTTTATCCCTCTCTGCATGCCCTTCTGGTCACTGGCTCCAGCCCCCCCACATACATGTGCCCTGCCATCTTCAATACTGAGGACCTCCGTCCACCAGGCCCCCTCCAGCTCCTCTCCCAAGGGTCTGGGCCCCTCCTCCCTCACTCTCCTTCTTCAACCCTCTGTAATCTGCCCTGGGACTCCAACGACTGTCCTGGACCCCAAACCACCAAGGTCACATGCCCTGATGCAGCCCACCCTTGGAACCCTCCTGTAGCCATGTGGCAGGGTCCCCCCTTGGGGCCACCCAGCAAGGATTGGGGGAGGGGTGGTCCTGGGCCTGGCTTTAGGATGCCCCTGTGGAACCAGCCCCCCACCCCTGCTCCTGGAAGCCCCGCCTCCCCTCGCTGGTAGGTCCTTTCCATCTCCAAGGTGCGTCCTTCTCCCAAATGTGGGTGCTCTTTTTATCTCCACCCCTTCAATTCTTTTTCTTTTTTTTTTTATCGAGACAGTCTCCAGCCCATGCTGAAGAGGCACTATCTCGGCTCACTGCAACCACCGCCTCCCTGCCTCCCCGGCTTAGATGATTCTCCTGCCTCAGCCTCCCCAGTAGCTGGGATTGCAGGTGCCCACTACCAAGCCCAGCGAATTTTTGTATTTTTTAAAATAGAGATGGAATTTTGCCATGTTGGCCAGGCTGGTCTTGAACTCCTGACCTCAGGGGATCCGCCCACCTCGTCCTCCTAAAGTGCTGAGATTACAGGCGTGAGCCACAGCACCTGGCCCACCAGCCAATTGTTTTTGTTTTTTGTTTTTGTTTTTGTTTGAGACAGAGTTTCCCTCTTGCTGCCCAGGCTGGAGTGCAATGGCGCCATCTTGGCTCGCCGCAACCTCTGCCTCCTGGGTTCAAGCCATTCTCCTGCCTCAGCCTGTAGCTGGGATTACAGGCATGCGCCTCCACGCCCGCCTAATTTTGTATTTTCAGTAGAGACAGCATTTCTTCATGTTGGTCAAGCTGGTCTCGAACTCCCGATCTCAGGTGATCCTCCCGCCTTGGCCCCCCAAAGTGCTGGAATTACAGGCGTGAGCCTCACCAGCCAATTCTTACATAGAGCCCTTGGTTCCATCTAGGCCTCCCTCCGGCTCTGTGCTGGGTGAAGAGGTGGTCACACCCCTCACAGGACAACTCATTCTCCTCCCTGTGAACTCATTCCTTCCCAGTCCCGGCCCTGTTCCTCACTGAACCTGACCTCTAAGAACATGGATGTCCTGACCTTGTCACCCCCACACCACGCCTCAAGGGCTCCCCACTGCCTATGGGATGATACCCGTGCTGTGTCTGCTCTCACCGCCCCTCCCACTGCCTCCTCCCCTTCCCCACCGTCTGCTCCAGACTGCAGATTCCAGGACAGCCCGGGACCTCCCTCCCGGAAGGAGGACTCCAGGGCCCCAGGCTGGGTTAAATGGTCTTCCTGGAGCTGCTTCAGTTCGGGCCTTCCCTGGCAAACGCCAAGGTGCTCAAAGCCCTGTTTTTGCGGGGACGGGGGAGGTTTCAGTGATGTTCCCTGGTGCTTGCCTGGTCCAAGATGGGGAGGCAGAGCCGATGAGGGGCTTCTCTGCCTCCCCAGTTCCACACCCTTATTCCCGTGCAGCGCAACCAGCCCTAGGGCGCCTGCCTCACCCCAGTCCCCACCCCACAGGACTGGATCGAGTGGAAGCCAGATGGGCAGGATCCTGGGGCAACTCCTCGGACGATGCAATGCGACCAGTTCCGACCAGGTGGCGCTGCGCGGCTACCGTTCTGGGCAGTAGCCTCCGCCCCGCGCCTCCAGCAATGGGCGGGTCGCAGTGGGCGGGGCCACAGCGGGTGGGCGGGGCCGCCCCGTCGCCGGCAGCGGTTTCCTGCCCCTCCCTCCCTCTTGGGTCGTCGCAGTCCCCACCTTCCCTCTCCTCCTCTGTGGGTCTCTGTTGGTCACCTCCTTCTGTCGCGCTGGCCCCGCCTGCTCCAGTTTCGGAATCTGAAGAGAGGCACGGTGCAGCCTGAGGGAAGAGGCCCTAGGCGCGGTCTGGTTATGCTTGCTGGACCATTAATGTCCATCAGAAAGCAGCGCCTGCCTGAGCAGCTCTGAACCATTACCGGGCGTCGGAATAGTGGTCCCACCCCCAGACAGGGCTCCAGGCCACGGCCACATCCCAGAGCCTCTGTCCAGGCCCAGGCTCGGGCTCCCTGAGATCGCTGGGACCTTGCTGGAGGGATGCGGGTTCAAGGCCTGGAGGAAAGGTCCTGCAGAAACAGGAGTGCAGGGGCGCCCCCACCCCGGTGGACCCCCGACCGACAGCCCAGGGGAACAGCTGAGACCTCTCCCTCTGCTGGATAGGACTCTCCTGGGTAGCATGCTGGCAGGCGTGGGGAAAGGGGGTTGGGTGGAGAGTGGGGAATCCCCCAAGCCTCTGATTGCCCCTGACTTGACTTTCTTCCCTCCTGCTGCTGCCCTGGGAACCCATGTCACCCCATCTGCACTCCGCAGAAGCAGCAGAATAAAGTCCAGCCTCCTCTTGCTGCCCACCCTACTGCCTCCCGCCCACTTCCCTAGCCCTTTCTTTGAGACACCAAGCACTTGGCGGCCCCTGAACACCTTTGCTCAGGCACTTCCCTTTGCCTTCCTCTGCCTCCAGCGCAGTACCCGTGGGGGCCAAGGTCAGCCTTGGACCAGGGCTGAGAGCTTCCGGAGGCTGGCTGGAGAAGAGGCGTGGGAGGGTTTAGCCCTGAGAGCTGCTGGGTCACCATTCCTTGCCTGTTCCTCCAGGTCCCTGGACTCACTGTCCCCTCTGACTCTGAACCTCCTCTGAAAGTGTGACCTCCAGTTCCTCTCTGGCTGTCTCATTCCTCCTGCTCCCTGCTTTGCCAGGCCCACTTCCTTTGTTGCCTGACCCTTTGCTACTCTGTTACCCTCCTCAGCCCTTCTTGGCTTTGGGAACTCCTTTGTTACTTTGTAGCGGTAGAGTGTACTGTGATACTTCCTTGGTTCCTGGCCCCAGTTGTGACCTCATGTCCCTGGTGGCCCTTCCCTCCGCCATGCTGTTCTCTATCCCATCTTTTATTTATTTATTTTTAAATTTTTATTATTATTATTATTTTTTTGAGATAGTGTCTTGCTCTGTCACCCAGGCTGGAGTGCAATGATGCAATCTCAGCTCACTGCAACCTCCACCTCCTGGGTTCAAGTGATTCTCCTGCCTCAACCTCCCCAGTAGCTGGAATTACAGGTGTCTGCCACCATGCCTGGCTAATTTTTTTTTGTATTTTTAGTAGAGACGGGGTTTTGCCATGTTGGCCAGGCTGGTCTCGAACTCCTGACCTCAGGTGTTGGGATTTTGGAACTCCTGACCCAAAGTGTTGGGATTACAGGCGTGAGACACTGCTCCTGGCCCCCCATCCCATCTTCAGTCACTGGGAGGAGGAATTGGCTGAGTCCTGGGCCAGGGAAGGCTGGTGTATGCCCAAGGCTGATCAGGGATCTGCCCCACCCGGGGGGTAAGCTCTGCCCCACCCGGGGGGTAAGCTCTGCAAGCCCCCTTACCCAGGGGACCTGGGGCTGCTGGTGCCTCCCATCCAGCCACCTCACTCGACTCTAGTGTGGCCACGAAGCTACAGCCTGCCACGTTGTGGGTGGCCCTGGTTGGTGTGGGATGACTCCCTGAGCCCAAACAGGTGTGGTGTGTGGGGTGCGTGGTGGTGGGTTACACTGCCTGCACCCATCTTCACAGACTCCACGGGTGGCAGCACCAGGCTGTGTCCAGGAAGGCCAGCCATAGGTCAGACAGGCAGCCTCTGGACATGCAGACAGACAGATGGAGGTGGCTGGCCAGGCGGGAGCCTGAGGCAACCTCAGCCAGGAATTGCAGGGGTGGGGGTGGCAAGCAGCCATGGTGCCTCAGCCTAAGTGGCTTTTAGGGGCAGCTGCCGGGATATGGGCACCCAGGGGGCCATGGCCCAGGAGACTGCCCAGAGGCGGGCCCTGTGCTTGGGTGGGGGCAGGGGAGCCCAGGCCAAGGCCCCAGAGAGAGGATAGGGAGAGGAGGACTGCGCCAAGCCTGCTTCTACTGCTCACATGGGGAATTGCCTGGGCTGGCTGTGCCTGACCCCTGGGAACCAGGTATGTGCAGGGGGCCTGGCTGGGCTGGGGAGGAGGGCAGACTGGGGCTGTGCCTGGACTCAGCTGTCTTCCTATATTGGAGACAGAGGAAGAGCTGGGTGGTGAAGAGCATGGACTCCGAATCTCACATCCCTGGGCCCAAAGGGAGCTGAGGAAGCTTCGTGGGTCCCTCTCCAGGCCTGTTCGCAGGTCTGTGAAGTGGTCAAGCCCCTAGGGTTGTTCCAAGTAAAATGCGCTCAGGCATAAATGATTTCACTGTGGTGGCGACTGTCCTGTTGGGGAAGGAGGGACACTCGTGCTTCATATAGAGGCTCAGGGACGTAGACGGCTGTGGGCAGGGGAGGGGAGACCTGCTGCCTGCCTGCGGACACTGTGGAGCAGCGCCTGTGCACACTGGCCACCACCCAGAGCTTAGAGCCCAAAGAAGTAGGTAGAGGCCCATGTCGAGACTCATCCTTTCGTTACCCTGCAGAGTCACAGTCCAGGCCTGGGGTGGGCTGGGACACAAGTAGGGGGAGCCGCCCGGCCAAGGGAGAGAATGGCGGGAATGGACGAGGTGCAGATAGCCCAAACACGGAGGGTAGGCCAGGGAGTCTCAAGCCACTGGCCCCCAGGATGCAGGGAGGGACTGCTGCGTGTCACTTTTAAACCTCTTTTTGCCTCCTGGGCCCTCCTGAGACTGCCCTGGGCCAGGGCAGTTCTGGCTGCAGGAGGGATCCAGATCAGGCACAGCAGAGTGGAGATAGGCAAGGGGGTCTGGGAGGGCTTCCCCGGGAGGGTGGGGAGGGCTGTGGCCCTTGTTGTTACCCTTTGGCCCCTTTGGGGGGGTCCCTTGGCCTGGAGACCCTTTGTCCAACCCGTCGCCCACCTCAAGACCTGCCTGGATGCTGCGCATACAGTAGGTATCCAATAAATGTTCCTGGGATAGAAGGCAAAGGCGCTGGCACCAAGGCGGCTGCCCAGAGCAGGAGCGAGACAGAGGGGTCCTGGTGGCTGGGGGGTCCCCTAGCCCTGCCGCCTTCCCCCACCCCCACTCGGGATGACCGGCCGCGGAGGCTGGGATGG